CCAGATGTCCCCATGGAGATGTGGAGAGCCAGGCCAGCTCCAGATGTCCCCATGGAAATGCGCAGAGCCAGGCCAGCTCCAGATGTCCCCATGGAAATGTGGAGATTGGAATGGGACAGGCACAGGGATCTGTTCCAGGTGGGATCAGGAATCGGACAGGCACAGGGCCTCCACGGCCGTGCTGAGCCCCTGGCTGACGCCGCCCACGGCCAGCAGGCAGTCCCGCAGCGCGATGCTGGAGCAGGCGCAGCGCGGGGTGGGCATGGGGGGGAGGCTCTCCCACTTGTTCTTCTCCGGGTGGAAAGCCTCTGCCGACTCCAGCACCGTCGGCTGATTCCCTGGAAGCACAAAAGGAGGCGCTGGATGATGTGGGAAGCACCATCGAGCATCTCCTGGCTGCTCTGTACCCCATCCCCTTATGGGATTTGTGTTCCCTGCTCCCTCCCACCGGCCAGGAGATGTCTCCCTTTCCCAGGATGTCTCCCTTTCCCAGGAATGCAATTCCCACACGTTTTTGAAGGGTTCCCGCAGTCCCAGAGGCTCACCCAAGCCCCCAGCCACGACAACTCTGCCTCGCAGGTAGCCGGCCACGAAGTCTGCTCGCCTTTTCTTCAGGTAGCAGGAGCGCTCCATCTTCATCCACCCACCTGGGAAGGACGGGACACGCTGGGATTTGTGGGATCACCCACTCCTGGAGAAGCATCCACCTCTCCCAGGCCCTGGCTCGTGGAAGGGCAGTTTGGCTGCTGCACCTTGGGGTGATAAAACCCCATGGAATGGGTTGCGTTTGTCTGAGGTTTTCCCATTCCAGTTGTTAATCCTGACTGGAAATCGTCCTCTAAGCTGAGCTCAAGGCAGCAGCAGACGGGAGATCTGTGCTCTGGAAGGATGGCAGAGCCCCAAACCCCAAACTGATCCCTGTGTCCCCAAAGTGATTCCTGTGTCCCCAAACCTCAAACTGATCTCTGTGTCCCCAAAGTGATTCCTGTGTCCCCAAACCCAGCCCTGTGTCCCCAGACTGATCCCTGTGTCCCCAAACCAATCCCTGTGTCCCCAAACTCATCACTGTGTCCCCAAACTGATCCCTGTGTCCCCAAAGTGATTCCTGTGTCCCCAAACAGATCCCTGTGTCCCCAAACTGATCCCTGTGTCCCCAAAGTGATTCCTGTGTCCCCAAACCGATCCCTGTGTCCCCAAACCAATCCCAGTGTCCCCAAAGTGATTCCTGTGTCCCCAAAGTGATCCCAGTGTCCCCCAGCCCCTCAGCAGGGCCCGGGCCAGCTCCCACCTTGCTCGAGATCGAATACATCCACCGTCCTCATGAACTTGGGCTGCCGGTAGAGCCGGCCCTGGCGCAGCCCCCCGAGGCTGAAGAGCTTTTCCTCGGTGGCCACGAAGCTGGAGAAGGCCCTTTTGTTAGGAATGCTGGGGAATTTGGTCCACGACCGGGTGTCCGTGTCGAAGACCTCGAAGGCGTTGATAGCGTACTTGGATTGCCTTCCCCCTGGGAAAGGAGCGGGAATTCCTGGCTCAGGGACCGGAGCAACCTCGGCTCTCCAGCTCCCTGAGTGAAATGGGCTTTTTCACCTCTCTGCACTCATTTTCTCAGGAAAAAGCTGAATTTTCCAACCTCTCCCCACTCCTGGTGGTGCTGGCATGGGGAAGGGTTTAAAATGCACTGGATTGATCCAGACAAACTCAGAGCAGAGCCGGGATCGGGCTCGGGAAGATGAGAGGAATTCCCATGAGCTTGGATCCAGCGAGCCCTGGCCTGGCTGCTGAACCCCTGAGGGCAGGAGAGCTGGAGCAGCTGCTCCAGTGCCAGGGATCCCAGTGATCCCAGTGATCCCAGGGATCCCAGTGACCCCAGTGATCCCAGTTATCCCAGTGATCCCAGTTATCCCAGTGCCAGGGATCCCAGCTATTCCAGTGCCAGGGATCCCAGTTATCCCAGTGATCCCAGCTATCCCAGTACCAGGGATTCCAGTTATCCCATTGCCAGGGATCCCAGTTATCCCAATTATCCCAGTGCCAGGGATCCCAGTTATCCCAATTATTCCAGTGCCAGGGATCCCAGTTATCCCAGTTATCCCAGTTATCCCAGTGCCAGTCCCAGTGCCAGGGATCCAAATTATTCCAGTGCCAGGGATCTAAATTATTCCAGGCACAGAGGAAGAGGAAAAGGAGAAGGAAGAAAAAAGAAGGAGAAGGAAGAGGAAAGGAACGAAAATGAAGAAGGAAGAAAAATTAAGGAAAAATGAAGAAAAATGAAGAAAAATGACAGCAAAGGAAGAAAAAGGAAGAGATTGAAGAGGAAAGAAGGAGAAGAAAGAAGGAGAAAGAAGAGAAGAGGGGAGAGAAGGAAAGGCGGAGGAGGTGGAGGAGGAGGAGGAGGAAGAAGAGGAGGAGGAGGAGGAGGAGGCAGGGCTGGTCCTCACCAAGCACGTAGATCTTGGTGCCCCTCAGGACGGACGTGGCCGCGTAGCGGGGCGTGGGCATGGCAGCCAGGGACACCCAGATGTCCTTGAGCACGTCATAGTGCTGCAGGAAGTTGTGGGGCCGCAGGTCCGAGCCCATCCCGCCCGCGGCGTACACCCTGTAATCTGCACGGGGCAAAGAACCCCCCAAATCCCGCTAAATTATCATTGGGAACTACCAGAAACCCGTCTTTCCCCTGCAAAAATATCCCGCTAAATTGTTATAGGAAAGCGCAAAAAATCCATCCCCATCCTGCAAAATTATCCCACTAAATTATTGTAGGAAAGTGCCGGAAATCCATCCCGACTCTGCAAAAATATCCCACTAAATTATTATAGAAAGTACCAGAAACCTCCCTCCCCTGCAAAAATATTCCACTAAATTATTATAGAAAAGCACAAAAATTCCATCCCCAACCTGCAAAATTATCCCACTATATTATTGTAGGAAAGTATCAGAAAATCCATCCTACTCCTGCAAAAATATCCCACAAAATTATTATAGGAAATCACAAAAAATTCACCCCATCCTGCAAAATTATTATAGAAATATATATATTATATACTATATATATTATATTATATTATATTATATTATATTATATTATATTATATTATATTATATTATATTATATTATATTATATTATATTATATTATATTATGTTATATTATGTTATATTATATTATATTATATTATATTATATTATATTTCTATTCTATTCTATTCTA